CTCTCAAAACAATTTCGAAAGGGATTTTACGGCAATTTTTAATTTCTTTTATTTTTTGATTTTTCTTTGAAAAATAATTAATTATAATAAAGTAGAAAATCTGTGTGTAATTCACTCAAATAAGGAATAAAAAAACTTTACTTTTCTTCTTTGCAGTGTAAATCTTCTTGTTTTTTTTAATTACTTACCAATATTCTTTCTATTAGAGACAGTTATCTTTAAGACATGATGGGATATTAAACATGAGCACTTTGAGGATTCAAAACTATATTCAATCTTCAATAGCATCAATTATAGACAAAAAAGGAAAATAGGATCATATATAACAAAGCGAAAATAGGATACAATTAGCTATGTCAATAAAATTCAATAGAATATAGAAAATAAAAATAGAGATCAAATTAATTTGGAAAATTAAAAAATAACTACAAGAACAAAAAGAATAACTTTTTTAATAAAAAAATGTGATTTTGATGGGATCCATTTCACTAAAGTCAAATCACATTGCATTGGTCCTAGTAAAAGGAGTTATGGCCACTTAACACGAGATATCGGTTCGAGTTTATGTAAATGTCAAAATATTTTTAAAAAAACTACTTTTAATTGGGTCAAAGAATGCTGATTTATTTAAAAACATGTGACTCTTGATTATTAATTATTGTTATTTCTTTCATAAGAGGTGAAATAGAGAAGGGACCCAAAGTAAAAGTGGAAGAGTGGGTGATATTATTACAATGACACCTTTGATGAGTAGGGTACCTACCCTAATCATCATTTTAAGTGCCTTATAAACTCTCCCAAAAAACAGACATTTTTCTTTGTTGGTAGGCTCTCATTTTCTTCTATTTAAATCATCAAATAAAATAAAAATAAATTAAAATTGGATTGTGCTTAATATAATTTAGATAATTTGACTCAGATGTATGCTCTGTATATTTTATGTGCATAAAAATATTACAAATTCATTTTTTTTTATCTTAGTAGGGACATTTTATACTGCATGTTTCATTTGATTATGACAATTGAACTGCAAATTTGAAACGTCAGTTTGGTTCATAGATGACCTCATTTCACTGGAACTCACCAGCTTTTTACTTTATTTAGTTCTTGAATAGCAAGTTAGGTGATTGATATTTGATATATTAGCTACTGGAGAAAGAATTTCTTCTTTTTTTGGGGAAAAAAAGGAGAAAATCAAGGTACCAATTATTGATATAATAAGTTTCTTCTATTTGGGAAAAAAACCATTTTTTATTTCCTAATTAAGGCATAAATTAGTTTATGAACCTTTACTATAGCCAAATATTTTTTAAAGACATAAGGCTAATTTGAAGATGTCACTCCCTTTATTTTTTTTTTAATTATTAGATTTGAATTTAAAGAATTTAAAAATATTTTTTTGGGATAACATTTTGATATGTAATTTTAAAATCAATTTAAAAAATTATTGAAAATAGTATCTAGAAGCCTAAACTTATCTTTTATATAATGTTTCTTTCCAATTTTTGAAAATAGTATAGTTTGACTCTTTTTGTTAATAAAAGTTAACTTTAATAGTTAATTAATGAAAAAATGATAGAAAAACCTAAAAAATTACATAAAAGAATTAAAAAAATTTATCCTTTTTTTTATAATTTTTCTTGTCATTGTCTGTAATTTTTGAGTTCTTTACTATAATTTTGAGTCCTTTTTTATAATTTTTGACGTCACATTATGTCATTTTCTGGTTAATTAACTGTCAAAATTAATTTTTGTTTAAACAATAAGGGTCAAATTGCATCATTTTAAAAGTTGAGGGAGAATATTGTATTAAAAATAAGTTTATAATCCCAAACATTTCTGGATTATAACTTAAGGGGCTAATTTTCTCATTATACAAAATTATACGACACCCTACAAGATTATAAATCTTATGATATATCCCTTTAGGATTCCATCTTTTTTCTTTGATAAAAAAAGTTTAGGATTCCCTCTTTGATAACATCTTTTTTTCTGTAAACAATTTTGCAAAATTTATATGATGTAATTTTTTGAAGTCAATGTTCATCAAACGGGGGAAGTCAATGCTATCTCACTAAAAAATAAAAATGTTTTGAATCAGGATAAATGAATGAATGAAAGAATGAGATATGTAATATTTATGGTCTTATTATTAGTTAATTAATCTTATTTATGTTTAAAATAAATGCACAAAAATTATTTAACATTTATCATTTTCTTTCTTATTTCATTTCATATTTATTTTTTTAGGCACTAAATTGTGAAATAGCTCATGAGTTGAATTGTTGAAACTTCACTTTTTTCCAATACCTAATTTTGTAAGATATTAAGGTAATTCTTATGTTTGTTTTATTTTGTTGGACAATCTGAATGCAAGTATTTAGTTTAGGTTGATGTGACACTAACCCACTATTATTAATAAGGAAACCAGCTCAACCAACCTTTTTGTCCCTCGTCTATTTTCCCTTGAATAAAAAATGTTGTTGCCTCAATTTTATTTTAAGACACTTCTTTCTTAAATTATTTGGTGGTATTTTGTATTACCAACTACTGCAAATTCAAATATTATCGGATCCTAAAAAATACTTCCTCCATTTAATATTATAAAATTATTTTGAAATGTCATGTAGAATAAAAACATTTTGAGCTTTTCAAGATGTAATTAATATAATTTTTTAAAAATGATCTTAATTAAAGATATAATTAATATTATTGTCTAATTCAGATAATCAATTAAATAAAGTCAAACATGAAAATAATGTATAATTTTAAATGTCATTATCTAAGTAAATTAGTTTTTCCTGTGTCAAAGATAGTGTAAACAGTGTTTTATAATATTGAATGGTGGGAGTAAATATCTTAATTAACATATTTGACACACACACACATATATAATTTGAAACTAAGATCGTAACGAAATTTTTTTCAGGAACTATATATTTTATGTGTAACGTAGCGAAAATTCCATTAAAGTAATGACAATGAAAAATTAAGTTAATACACTATGCTATAAAAATTATCTAATATAATTCAGACTTTTTTCTCTATGTAGTAGAGTTTTGGTTTTCTTTTCAATTTGGACAAAGAAAAGAATTAACTAACTCTTAAAAACAAAGAATTAACGAACAATTGCATCATAAAGGAAATTTCAATAATCAAAAGTGGGTTTCAATTAAGAAAAAAGTATACGATTATTTCGTACATCATTTTTAAAATCCAAACAAGTTGGATTATGAATTCCAGTCCACCTTTTTCAATTTTAAAAATATATTTATTCATAAAATATAATTCAAAACTCAACTTCTAATCAAATCATCGCAATTTACAAGCATTATTTTAATGAGTATTAATTGCCCTTGTGATTGGTTTAAATCTAAACCAAATATTCTAATTAAAGTACAAAATAATAACATGAACAGGTGAGGAAGAAAAATAAAATATTTCACAATCAATCACTGGCTAGACAATTCTTCGTATGATTTGAGAATAGGAAATTTCTATGACATTGTTGTCAGATTAGCAATTTTTTATTTACCATTTCTTTATCTTCTTTTGAAGGTAAAACAAAATAATTACTATCTTATAATAAATTATGTTTGGCATTGGGCGCCACATTCAAAGCATCTTACTAATCTTACTAATAATTAAATCACACTAATCTGCAGACCAATAATTGACCCTTCAATTAAAAAAAAAAATTGGGTCTGCCAAGAAATCCTTTGTGAAGCCCTAAAATCTGGATTTTTGCTAACAACCACTAAGGAAAATTTTTTTAAAAAGGATTAATATAAATTATTAATTTGAGAGTATCTTTCCAAACCTGAACTCCACTACACATCCTCTTTTCTTATTCACAAATTATTAGAATACAAATAAAAGCTGGTGACGTTAAAGCTCTTTGATTCATTGGGCCTAGTCAGAATATCACCACTGACAACCTGGGGGTTCCTGAAAATAACAACAACAACAACAAAATTATTCATTTTTCTCAATTTATTAATTATTAATATTTATTTTTTAGAATATAAAATTATTATTTTATTTAATTTTAATTTTTTTTATTAAAAATATTTTTATTACATTTTTTATTATTTTTTTAAGGATATTAATGTTGAAGGACAAAATTGTGCCATTCAATTAAGAGAAGAAAACTAGTTGAAGTACAATTGAAAATATTGATTTTTTTGAAAACATATTCAAGTACCAATATCTTAAAAAATTGAAAATAATTTATTTAAAAATTATAAATATTTCTGAAAGTTAAAATTAAATTTGTTGAGAAATTTATAATTGTTAATATAATTTTTTTTAAAAAAAGTATAAAATTATAGAAAATTTGATCACGAAGTTCTTACAATTAGATAATAAACCTTAGAAAACTTCAAGTAATTTTAATAGTTAAAAATAGTTACTCTATAATTCTTAATATTTTTTCTGTTTCTGTTTTTTCTTTAAAAAATTGGGCTATTAGATGTAATTGTGCCTTCAAAATAAAAGGTGGTGGTTCCAACTTCTAACACTCTTAACCTATAACTTCCAACGTCTGGCTCTGGCCTTCGTCTTTTTGAATTTTCTATTCTGCACAGTTAAAAGGCACCGAAGCTTCTGTTTTCGGTGAACCTAAAAGAAAACTTACAGAGAACCCAAGAAAATGCCACAATTTATGGTTGACCACTCCCCAAGTTTTAACCAAAATGTCCTAATCATTTTAATTAGACTTTTTGAGTTTTAAAAGAAGAGAAAAAAAACAAGCCGCTAGTATATCACAGCTGGTTTCAACACAAAGTGAGAATCAAACCGGCCAGATTATGCAGAGATTAATTGACATGACCTTTCTAATGAGATCATTATAATTATGAAGACCCACTAAACTTCTTAGTGGGGTGATGATGTGATGTACGAATTATTATATCAAGTTAATGATTTTTCTTTAAAAAAATTAATTTACACAGTAATGAATGAATAACATCATAAGATAGGAGCAAAATGAGAAGAAAAGAAGCGGGGAAAAAGAACTCTTTCTTTAATTAGCACTATATCTTACAATTGGTGCCATAACAAGAACTAGCACCAGAGAATACAGAATTGCTCCTAAGATTTTACATGAATAGTTATACAAAAAGGGGAAAAAAATGAAATGAACCGCCCCCAGAAGATTAGAAATCAAAATCATCAGAGAGAGAATCAGATAAAAGAGAAAACACCATGAGAATGAAAAAAGGTGGTTTCGATTGAATAGACCTAATGGTGATGATGATGACGACGACTATGGCTTAACAATGATGATTGATGGGTTTGGTTGAATTAAATTCTTTTTCTTGTTTACAGCAGTCTTCCTATACTCCTCTGGGCTTCAATTCAAGCATATGAATGTTGATCAAAGCTCAACTTTCATATGGGGTATCTGGTTTGAACCTGCATTAGACCCCAGAAAGAAAAGGTATCATAAGAATCATCATTTGTTTTTCTTTTGGGGTAAGACATAAGTATCATCATGTTCTTGGGCCAAATAAACATATAACATTGCAAAGCTGTTTCTCTTTCAGTATTACCATTAAAGCTTGGAGATTGTGTTGGTGTTTTTCCATTTTCTGTTTGACCAAACCCCATCTGAGCAATGGTGTGGAGGTCTTCCTCAGAAAAAGTCATTGGATACTGCAAATCATTTCACAGAAGAATCAGAGAAACTTCAAGTTACAGTAACGGAACTAACTTACAACAAGTGAGCTTCACATACATATTTTAATATCAGTCAACTCGAGTAAATTTTAACATTTTTTCAGTATTTGTGGAGGAAAAAAAAAAAAAAACCAGACGGAAAGAAAAAATCCATACCTGAGAAGCACCTTCATTGAAACCATTCAGAGGGGGTAACTGGATGCCAAGGCTTTGGCAGAGAGCAGAATCTAAAGATTCCATTGAGTGGGCAACAGTTCCATTAGGGATGGCATTATGGCTTGCTGGGTTGGGGCCATAAAAGGCTGTGGCAGAGGAGTCTAGCGGGAATATTGCTGCTTGGTGTGCCAAAGAGTTATTTGACTGAAATATCTGAAATACCCAAAAAGCCAAACAAACACATCCCAATTCAGGAAAAGAAAAGTTAGAAACTTTATTGATAAAGTAGCCAAACCCATGATGCCTAGAGCCCCAAAAAAAACTCACATCTTTTGAGATAAGATTGTCAATGCTCACATCAAGCCTGGCGTTCACTGAGGCCAATTTCATAGAAAGGAACTGGCAAGAAAGAAGAAAAAACTATAATTAACTACGATCATGATTTTAGGCCCCTTTTGGGGGGGGGGTTGTTATCCAAGCCTGATTCTACCTCAACTTGACGCTGCAATGATTGTACATAGTTTATGATTTCATCAAGCATAAGAGCTTTTCCAGTGACCTACAAAGAATGGTTCATACTTGATTTAGTATGTACGATCAAGGATCAAACTGGTACGCAAAGCAAGCCATAATATGATTTAGCTTATATGCACGGACCTTGTTGCAACCAGGTACAAGATCTTGCAGAAGCTTCATTCTCTCACTGATTTTCTCCCTCCTTACCTGTGTTTATTCATAAAATGTCAATATGAAGCCTGCAATATTGTTTTCTTGCCAGAGTGATTTTTCATTTGGGAGACAGCGAAAATAACCACAGATTCTTACTCTTTCAGCAAGACTGTGGCTATCAGTAGCTTGACCTCTTCTTGCTCTAACATGAATGTAGTCCTTGGGAGGCTCAGGAGGTTTTGAGTTGTTGCTCTTGCTCTGTTTTTCATCCCCACCATTGTTGTTACCTCCTTTTGGCTCTTCTTCTGCCTTCAGTTGACCGTTTTCATGTCCTTCCCCTTCATTTGACTTGCTGCGCTTTGGCCCTGAATCTTCATTAGCTTCAGCAGCCTGAATTGGAAGAAGAAGAAGAAGAAGAACAACCCTTTGATTTTAGGAATTTCTGGGCTGAATCAAAAGCACTATACAAAGTTGGTAGGAATATCTCTTTAACATTTGAAAGTGTTCAATATTAATAAATTGTTTGGTTTAGTGTCCTGATGGATTTAAGTAAGCTGAGTGAATGTGAGAGGATGCTTCTAAAAATTAATTTTTTTTCTGCGAAAGGAATAACCCAGGACAAAGTGAGAGGACATATTATCTCTGACTGATAAAGGGTAAAAATACAAAAAAAGAAAAAAATTGAAACAGTTGTGACAGAATTCATTTACCTTGGGAGGATTGGTGGAGGAAGGAGTTTCTTTGGGTTTCCCTTGGAAGAAGCTTTCCTCTTTCTGGAATTCACATCAGGAGGGGAAAGTTTGACCCCAGATTCCCGATTTGGGTTTTGCTCAGAGATTGTAGATTCCTCCTGAGAATGCAAAGGAGAATTCTTATTTTCCATTTGAGATCCAAGTGCTTTCAGGGATGGGCTACTTAATACTCTAGGAAGCTTGCCATTTTCCACTAATGGACTAGATCTCTGTGTGAAGTCAGCATTATTATTCATCCCAAGTTGTCTTGAACTTCTGCCATTAAAACTCCTGCTTCCAAAGCAAGAAAACTTGGCAGCTCTCTCAGCAAACCCAGGATCAGCTGAGAATTCTGCCACACTGGAATTCAAAGCCATTGGTAATTTGTCTTTCATCAACTGGTTGTTATTCATCAATGGAGGAGGAATGTTCAGTTTAGGAGGAGAGCTCAAAGGCGTGCTATAACATGAAGTGTTGGTACTGTTATTTCCGTTCATGTAAGAAGAGATCTCGCCGGAGTTCCCAATATTCCCCAATTTCCCAATCAACTCTCTGATGACGAAATTGTCACTGGACAAGTTCGAATTGGAAGCTGCAGGTGAAGAAACCATCGAACTCAACGCAGAATCGAACTGAAGACCGTGATGATGATGATGAAGATCCAGGGTTGACTTTTCCCATGCGGGATTGTAGAAATAGTCTTGCTGGTGTTGCTCAGAGGCAACAGGAATATCCATGGCGGAGGAAGAGAGTGATGGCCACGTGGGCATTGAAGGAGAAGAAGACGAAGAAGGCTCGAAGTGCATAGCTGAAGCATTTAAAAAGAAATCGTTTTCCATGGCGCAGATCAAGAATCTGCCAGAAACAGAACGAAGGGAATTCAGAAGAAGGGTGCGAAATTAGAAACGAAGGGTTTCTGAGTCACATTAGAGAAAGAAACCATACAGAGAGAGATAGAAAGAGGAGTGAATTGGAAGACGAAGAAGGATTGTGAGAAATTGAGAAACAGAGAGAATGGAATTGAATTGAGGGTTGAGATGAAAGAGAAGGAAAACCTTCTGTTTCAGTAAACAAAAAGCTAAGCAAAAGCTGAGAGAGATGGATGCAAAAAGGGAAGTGAGAAGAAAAAAGAAGGAAATGCGAAGGCGTTAAATAGACTGATACATTTGTTTTCCTTTTTTTTTTTTTGCAACAGTGACCTGTAGGCTTACTGTATTTTAGATTCTAACTTTCTCTTTCCTCTCTCTTCATCGAGTTGCATCCAAAAACTTGCATCTCAACAAGTTACGAATTCTGTTTCCTCTCTCTCTGGAGGTTAATCAAACTTCATATTTTTAAAGTTGAAACTTTATATTTTGATTTCTTCAAATAATAAGTTTAATTATGCTCTGGAAAAAAAGAAAAATTATAATTTTGTAAAAGTTTTTAATAGATTACATAATTTTTGTGATATATAAAAGATATAGGAAAAAGTATTTTTTAATTTAAAATAAAACATTGTTATTTAAGCTGAAAAGTATATAAAAAAAGATGAATGAAAAAAGGGAAAAAAGGTACCCTGGGTCCCAATTTATAATTTTTTTTAGATTGATAAAATTAAACACCCTAATAAATTTCATTAACTATATTTTGCTATCTTAACTTTTATATAAACTTTTAAAAACACTTTTTATTATCATTAATAAAAGAAAGAGGGGCGAAAATTTATTTAAAAATAAAATAATGAAAGATAATATTGGAACAATGATCCCTAGTATAACTTTTCAAAACATCTTATATTTTGATACATTAAAACTAAATAATTTTTAAAAATGACTTGTTAATTGGGATAGAAGAAATAATTTACAAGCAACTCTTAATTCTTGTGACTCTTATTTTCATTTCAAAAACACTTGTTAAGGATTTAAATTAATTATTTCTTTAAAAAATATCCTAATATTTGACATACTTGTATCTATATGATACTTAAAAATAATATAAAAGTATTCATGGCACCTAAGCTATTGGTTTATATGATGGGTTAATTATATTTAAATCCCCTAATATAAAAAAATTATAAAAAAGTCACATTTATAAGTCACTAAATAAAAAATATAAAATTAAATATTAAAAACTAGGACTTTTTAACAGCGGATTCCTTTATGTAAAATTAAAAACATTGTTAAAAACAGATTTTGTTAATTTTAGAGTTTTAGAGTCTCAAATATTGTTACTACTTACTAGAGACGTAATTAACTCGAGTGATTAAGGTGGGGGTGGGGCGAAGTGCAAAATATATATATATATATATTAATTCCTAAATTTGTATTCTCAATAATCTATCGAAAAATTATATTAGTTCATTATTATTAATTAATTGAATTGAAAAAAATAATTAGTAGAGATAATTAGATTATGTGGAAGTTGAGTCTGGGCGTTGAACACGGAAGAAATGAGAACTGTTGCTGCCGGGCCTTGGACGTTAAAGCACCCAAGTGCCTCCTCCTTTCTCTTTCTTCACACTTTCCTCTCTACGGTTTATAAAATGATTTTCAATTAAAAAAATATCATTTAACCAATAAATATTAGTCCAGTTGATGATAAGTATTTGAATCATATCTCACAAAGTCAATATAAAGACCTTATTAATAAATAATTTATAAATATTTTTATAAATATTCTTTAAGTCTGAAAAGTATGATCTTAATCTCTCAAAATTCAACTTACATAAACTTTATTTATAAAAAAAAGAATATTATTTATATTTTTTTTATATAACTTGGCATTGAGATCTTGTGCAATATTCATGTTTCGGCGTCGATGGTCATAATCCTTTTCATTAGACTCAACATTTATTGATGTTGCAATTCATATTTTATTTTATTAATTACTTCCTGCATTTTAAATATAATATTTAGTTAGACAATATTCATGTAAATTATAAAAGTTGAGTGAGTTAATTATATGTTATGTTTATGTAAGAAAAATGTGTTTCTCTTGCTAAAATATTCATGTTTTAACGAGGGTATTAAATGTTGGAGATGCAAAAGAGAGAAAATGTAAAATTAATGAGGATAATTAGGGAAATTATAGTAAATGAAGAGATGAGAAAATTGAGTTCCTACATTTAAGATCAAAATAAATCACTTAACAAGGTCTTATATTTAGAATTGAAGTGAAAAGAATATGCTTCATCAGTTCTAAAACATAAATAAGACATTTTTTGTTAGCTAATGTTAGTTGAAAATATATGACACTTTGCAAAACGTCAATAACATCAAATAATTCTTCTTTTCTACAAATGCGTGCCCTTGTTAATTATATTGTAAAGTAAGATTATGTAAGAAAGAAATTCAGTATAATTAAAATAAATTGATTTTAATTGGTGGCTATTCTTAAAAAGTAGTAATATTTTTTTATCATTTTAACTATACAAATAACTTTTAATTACTTTTTTTAATCATTATATAATAATTAAAAGTATCTTATATTTTCAACGATAGATGGTATACTCAGCACCTATTTGATTGTGTTATATATTTTTTTTTCAATGATGTTTTGTGATTTACTTTTTAGATTTGTTGTTAAAAAAATCTGATTAATTATATTAATTTAAAAATAATTTTAGAGTTAAAAGTCAGCCAATATGTGGTTGCTAGTAGATAATGATGTAAGTTATGACACTGATTGACAGTAGATGACAAATTGACAATAGGTTTAAATAATCAAATATAGTGTATTTAAAAAATAAAAATAATTATAAAATATTATTCAATAGAAACTGAATTCCATTTAAAAACAGAAAAAGAATTTTTGAAAACAAAATCAAACAATCCCTTAACTTTTGTTATTATTGTCAATGTGAGTACTTCACTGATAATTAACTTATAAGCATTTCAATAAATGGTTTTTGAGCTGTAAGATGACTAATATAGTATTTTTTTAAATAAAAAAAGTCATTTTAACTTTTTCTTTTCAACTCAACCATAGTTATCTTCTTTTAACTATTTCATTATATGATGGATGTGTGTTAATGACTTAATGTGATTAGATTCCCTTTTTTTCTTTTTGGTTGAATTTTTAAAAGCCCGATTCAGGTTTTGTTTGGTTCATGTCACAATTTCTCTCTTTCTTCTCTGGTTGTGAAAGATGCATTTTGAAGTAGAGTTAATTTCCAGCTAAAATTAAGGTTCACCATTCATTTTATGACGTCATTGCTTACATATGACAAGCACGAAATCAAAATATGTCTACTTTATGTAAAAGATCAAATTAATAGCTAAAATATTAATGTGAGTTTTAAAGCATTTTAAATCACACAATTTAAACCTCAAGAAAATAAAATAAAAAATACACCACAACCATTCACGTGTGGATCTAATATAATTAACCATTCAAGGAAAACAGATATAATTAATATACAGTAATAATATGTTGGTGTGCAATTTGCTTGAGGATCAAATATTATTAATCTCCATTTGACACCCAATTCAATCCATAAGATGAATAATAAATAAATTCTGGATCATTCATGTTTAATTTATATATGCAATTTTGATAATGAACTATAAGTTTAGAGATAATTTAAACTCTATATATACTCATAATTGGTACATTTTAGATTCTAAACAATAACCACTGTTAATTTGGTTCTAATGTCCATTAATAAAATTCTCGCCACCTAGATTTTATTAAGAGTTAAATGACATTTAAACTTTAAATTATAGATCTATGGGCAATTTAAATATTAAACCTATATTTATTCCATAATGTATGTATGCATGCATGCATAAAGAGAGATGCACCGATTCAAAATTCATGCAATTTAATGATGTCTAGCTCCTTTCATTAGTTCAATTAATGTAAATAGTTTTTTTTGTTGGGCTAACAAAACTTATAATATGTAATGTACTCCATAGTCCCCCGCCCTTTTTTGTAAAAATATTTTTATAATAATTTGATATTTAATGACATAAGACGTTTTGAGAAAAATAATGATTTATTAATGAAATTTATTCTAAAATTATCTTACATTATTGTATTCCTTACCTATCTTTTTTTTTTAATCGCTCTCTTATTAAATGAATAATATTACTAGAAGTTTATATTTTCTTAGAAAAATTAAGACTTTTAATTGTATTTAATTGATTTCATTAAAATTCACAATTTTGCAAGGAAAAAAATTCTTACAAAATGGGATCCTAGTTTCATTTATACTCATGTTATTATTATTATTATTATTATTATTATTATTATTATTCAATAATAATAATAAATAACAATAATAATAATCTCTTTTAATTATTTACATAAAAATATAATTTTAATTTTTAATTTTTTTATATTTTATTTTATGTTGGGAGTCAAACAATACTTATTAGTAATATTTAGAAGGTGGAAGATGTGAGAGCTGATAGTTAATTGTGTTATAGAGAAAATAACAAGAATATGCTCACAAAATTAAGTGAGACATACTCATTTGGCCCTATTTATAGAGTAGAAAGAGAAGAAAAAATTTGGTCAATTTTATAGGGTATTTGTCAATTTTCTATACTTCTCTTTATATTTTTATCCTTATTAAATGGTTTAAATAAAAATATTAATAATGAGATTTAAAAGTATTGATTATGAGTAAAATTTTAAAACAAAGTTAATAAGGTTTAATTTTTTTTTAATTTTAATAAAATATGCGGGAAGTAACTTATAAATAAAATTAGGAAGAATATAAAAAAAATAGGCTTAATTGATGAAATGAACAAGCATATTATTATTATTAGTGTATTTTATAATTCTCAGTGTTTAAAACCAGCTAGGTAATCAGGTCAAGCAAAAAAAAAAAAATTAAGGGTAATTAAGCAAATGAAAAGTGTGATTGTCATGATGATATTGTTCTCTTAGGGTAGAGTGTCACTCTTTTCTATCTTTTTTATAAATTATTTTTGATATGCTTGATACGAATAAGAAAAATTTTAAATTTTATTAATTTTATTTTAAAATTTAATTAATTTTTACTTTTCTTTTATTAAAAAAATATATAATAATATATTTTTTCTTGTTAATATTTAATGAAAATAAAAATAAATTTTGTGATACAAATTTAATAATATAGTTTATAAATAAATTAAAAAAATTATTTTTTATTTT